GATTTAATCTAAAATTAAAACATAAATACATTCTTATAAAAAATCAAACAATAAGCTAAATATCCCTTTGTTAACATACAATTGAATTTGCCTCCATAAAGTAAGTTACTACTTGTAGTTTGGTACATATTATTCCAATCTTATCCCAATGCATTTACATTATGAACCTAAATCTTTATATTCTTATCTTTAAACATATTAAAGTTATTTTTCTAAAATAAAGTGATGCTCATACTTTGTTTGATAATTAAAATATTTTTTTACATTTTTAAATGTTTGGTCCAGAAAATGAATCTGTCAGAGTTTAAATTGCTTTCAAGGACTCAATACAATGAGTGCACCACTTTTATTTATTATTTTTGTATTTATGGGAGTTAGCTCATTTAGCAATCATTCTAACAGGTGAACTTTAAAAACAATTAAAACAAAGTAGTTGGAGATGCAAGATGTTGCCAAAGTAGGTAGATGTAATAATCCTTTTTTCTCAGGACCAAACTGGAATTAGAAGTAAAATAGAAACCATCAACTCAAATAACTCATTAAATACTTACTGAATAGATGTCTTATTATCAGAAATTTATAGAAAGAGGGACTTTTTGTTGAGGATCTTAGCATGACTTGATACCAGCCTTTCCATATATACCCCCAGGATCTCAGCTATCACTCCTGAGGGTTGGCCCTGCACCCAAAAACCCAATAAAAATCAAGGCTCAATTACAGAGGAAGGGCTTACATAATTGACACAAAATATATTTCAGAAGCATTCAGTTTAGATGATCAGGGAGACTTTGACACTAGGTTCCAGAATTTAGAAAGCTAAAACAGTTAATTACCACTGAACAAGTATTGCAAGAAATGTTAAAAGGCCTTCTTGAAGAAAAAGAAGGAGAAGGAAGAGGAGGAAAAGAGGAAAGTAGATATATTTATAAAATATAAAATGGCAATAAATATGTACCTCTGCAAAAACCCCTATGCTAAAATATTCAACAAAATATTAGAAAATTGGATCCAGCAATACATTAAAAATATTATACACCATAACCAAGTGGGATTTATTTTATGGATGCCAGGCTGTTATGATATTCACAAGTCAATAAATGTGATAAACACATTAAAAAACTGAAAGACAGAAACAATATGATCAGATCTGTAGATGCAGAAAAGCATTTGACAAAATCCAACACCCATTTTTGATAAAATCTCTCAGCAAAGTGGAAATACAGCCAACATCATACTCGACAGGGAAAAAAATTAAAAATAGGAATAAAACCAGGATGTCCGCTTTCACCACTTTCATTCAATGTAGTACTGGCAGTCCTAGCCATAGCCATCAGACATGAAGAAGAAAAATTATGGCATCCAAATTGAAAGGAGGAAGTAAAACTATCATTTTTCTCTGATGACATGATATTGTACATAAAGAAGCCTAAAGACTCCACCAAAGTACTACTAGATTTAATAAAGGAACTCAGAAATGTAGAAGGATACAAAATTAAAACCCAGAAATTGATGGCATTTTTATACACCAATAAAGAATTCTCAGAAAGAGAAACTAAACAGTTCTATTTATCACAGCAACAAAAATTATGAAATACTTGGGAATACACTTAACCAAGGAGGTAAAAGAGTAGTACTCAGAAAACTACAGGACATTGAAAAAAGAAATAGAGGAAGTTATACACAAGGGAAGCATATATCATGTTCACTAATTGATAGAATTTACATGAATTGTCCATATTAACCAGTCTGTAGATTCAAAGCAATCTCTATTAAATTACCAAGAGTATATTTCACAGACCTAAAACAAATGCTTCAAAAATTTATATGGATCTAAAAAAGGACCCCGAATAGCTGCAGCAATACTGTGAAAGAAGAACAAAGTTGGAAGGTCATAATACCAGATATAGAGTTACACTACAAAGCCACTGTAATCAAAAAAGCCTGGTATTGAAACCAAGAACACACATATAGATCAATAGAACAGAACAGAGACCCCATAAATCAACCCAACACATTATGCTCAATTAAACTATGTATATTAAAGCCTAATATGCAAATCGTCCCCTTGAGAGTTCGACCAGGAGACCGGGAGTTCGATCGCTCACTGTTACATGCACTGACCACAATGGGGAGATGCGGAATGAAGGAAAGCCCTGGCCAGCAGCCAGCGAAGGGAGGTACCAGCCTGTAGTTGGCAGCAGGGGAAGGAAGGCCCTGGCCAGTGGAGGCCCTGATCAGTCCTGATGACTGGCCAGGTCCAGGGACCTTGCCTGTGCATGAATTTTGTGCACCAGGACTGTAGTATTTGATAAAGGAGGCAAGAGCATACAATGGAGTCAAGATAATCTCTTCAATAAGTGATGCTGGGAAAATTGGACAGATACATGAAAAAGAGTGAAATTAGGCCGTGAAAGTAGGCCACACCATACACAAGAATAAACTCAACCTGAATAAAAGACTTAAATGTAAGTCATGAAACCATGAAAATCTTAGATGCAATTGTTAGGTTAGGTGGCTCAGGAGGCAGCATAGGAAGTAAAGAGAGTCGATCAGAAAAGGAAGAAAGAAAAGGTTTTATTTTGCGTCCCAAGGTGACCAATGGACCACAAAGACAGGACCAGTGGATTCGCGCCAACAGGGAGAAGGCGCTTTTTTTATACTGTGGTTGAGTGAGGGGTGGGACATGAGCTGAGGTATTCAGCTGAGGAAGTCTCCACTGCAGGGGGTCAGCAGGGTATTCAGGAAGGAGTAAATACAGCCAACATCATACTCGACAGGGAAAAAAATTAAAAATAGGAATAAAACCAGGATGTCCGCTTTCACCACTTTCATTCAATGTAGTACTGGCAGTCCTAGCCATAGCCATCAGACATGAAGAAGAAAAATTATGGCATCCAAATTGAAAGGAGGAAGTAAAACTAGACATCTGCATGTATCTGATCCAGGGCTCTCTCCGACCTAAATACCAGCCTTTTGGTGATCGGGGATGCCGACTTGTTCTGACTGTCCAGCTGACCAGGGGCAACCAGGGGGTGTTAAAGGCCAGGGTTAGGGTTAGGCAGTGGGCAGCAGAGTGTAGGGGTGAAGCAGAAGCTGATTCACAGTCACCCCTGACATCTCCGAGAGCCTGGAGTGGATGAACTTGAGGAGGCAGGGGGCTAGGAAAAAAAATACACAGATGAGAATCAGGGGCCCTATCATGGGTAGTACCCCGGTAGCTAAGTGGCTTTGGAATAAGCTGAAAGGAGAGTTGTCTTGGAAGTGTCTTGCATGTAGTTCTTCACTCAGCTTAGTCAGGGTCTGCATGTTTTGCTCCACTACTCTGGACTTGTTGATGTAGTAGCAGCATTCTTCCTGAAGGAATATGCAGGTTCCTCCTTTTTCTGCAGTTGGAAGGTCTGAGGTGTGCTGGTAGGGCTACCGGGGCTCCTGATGTCACTTGCCACTGTAGGAAAGCTAAATGAGGTGGTAGTAGTCTCCAGGGCTAACTGGAGCTTGTCATTAAAGTACTGAGCAGTGACCAGACTGTTCCCGAGGCCCCCCTGGTAAGGCCTCCTGAGGCAGCGATACTCATCCCTACCATGACAGGGAGGAAGGTGGTCCGGCGTGTCCGTGGGTGGGATGGAGGGAGCAGCGAGGCGAGCTCCAACTCTCCATATAAGGTTAGGTTGGGAACTACTGTGACCACAAAGCAAGGCCCGGGGGTCAGAGGAGTTCATGCAGTTGCTTAAAAGAAGGTACCCGGGCTGGCCTTAATGAGACTGGCTGTCGTGTGGTTTTGGGTGCAGTTCCAAGTGACTTGTCCCCCAGTTACCGGATTACTGATCTGGTAGCATATCTGTGGGGGCAGGGTGGGCTCTGGAGTTTCAGGAAGCATCACGGACCTTGAACCTCCACACATAAGCGGGTAGGGGTGGATGTAGGTTGCTCAGGGATGGGAGGAGGAGGAGGAGGAGGAGGAGAGCGACCAAGGCGAACCTTAGTGGGGCCCAACACCTCACATCTATTGAAGTCATGCTGCTCTGGGGTCCTCTTGAGCCTGGAGAGGTGGTGCCATGACGGGTCGCCAAGCAGCTTAGCCTTGGTGGGGGCTGTGAGGATTACAGTGTGAGGTCCCATCCACCTAGGTTCCAAGGCTTGTCGATGTAGGTCTTAAGGAGGACAGAGTCACCAGAATGAAGGGCTGGTCCTCGGGACTCCTGGTTGTTTGGCTCTGGATTGGGCAGAAACCTGTCCACATGTTCTCGGAGCAGTTGCCTAATTAAAGGCACACATGGGAGATACATACCTAGCGGAGGAGGATCAGCAGGGAGATGGTGGTTGAGCAAGAAGGGTCTCCCATATAGTAGTTCAAAAGGGGCTTAAGAAGGTGGGGCTCCGTAGTGTACCTGGATTTTGGTCAGTGCCATGGGCAGGAGGTCCAGCCAGGAGCTGCAAATTTCTAGAGAGAGTTTAGTTATGTGCTGGGCTGCATATCTGGTGCTTTGGCCAGGCGAGGCACACTGTCCTAAAACACATAGATAGGAAGGTACTGATATCAGACCAGGCCTTGAGATATGGTCTCATGGCCCCTTCCCAGCACACAGGCCTTCTTTCTCAGGAGGTCTGGAAGTCTCATTCCAAATTTGGGAGGTAAAGGACTGGAAAAAGTATAAGTAAAGAGAGTTTCCTCCATTGTGGGGACCCAGAATTTGAAAGACACATTTTTCTCTGGGCCTCCACAGAACTTAATAATAAAATGTAACTCCTGTAGTTGGCGCTGCAGTTCAGCCTTTGCTTCGGCAGGGTGCTATAACTGTAGTCAGCTGGCCAGCTTAATAAAGGCTTTTCAACTGGCCAGCTTAATAAAGGCTCCTAAATCTTGATCTGAGTCCTTGGTGGTTGTCTCCGTGGGTCGCGCCATTACAGTTAGATTCGTTGGAATTTAGTGGCTATGGTGAGGGTTCGACCCAGTGACAGACAAATCCAGCAGGATGTAGAGGAGGAGGGATTGATGTTAGAGAGTAGATGGAAAGTTGTGTTGATGAGGGTGGGCATAGGAGTAGGTCCAGAGTTCTTAAATAGAGAGTGACACTAGAGGATTTCCCATCCCAGACAGTAGAATTGATGACTGCCTCATCATTCCATGTCCGTTTCACCTGAAAATATTAAAAACCTGAGCAGAATTGGAGGGTCCCTTGCCAGGTAAGAGCCTGTGAGGAATGATGGGTTATTCTTCGGGGATGGTAGGAGGCATTTGGTGAGCCTGAGAGAGGTAGGTATTGCAGTGAAAGTGGGAGGAAATGTTAGAATGCGCTGTTATTCAAGGGAAAAGAGAAAGGGACGGAGAGGTGGAAGCCAGGGACCTGGAGGCTGGAGAAAAGGCGGGGGGCGGGGGGGCACGCAGTCACACAGCCTGTTCCCAGGCCTCTAACCACTTGGATTTTAAAGCTGCTGCAGTTTTCCCAGAGATAATAATCTCAGTTTTTGATAATAGCCGGACTGTTAGATAAACCTGTACATTCAAGGACGTTTTCTTTGGGAAGGGTGGAGAGGGATGGGGCAAGAAGGTGCCGAGGTGAGAGCAGTTTTCAGTTCAGAGGAGGGGACAGTTGTGGAGGAGACAAGGAGATAAGGCATTCACAGTAAAGGCTGAGCTAGGCAACTGTGGTCTGGGTCAACAGGGCCCCATAAGGGGATGCATGGCCGTGGAGGATAGGCATCCCTGTAAAGGGAAGGGACCAGGAGTGGAAGGAGCAAGGAAGCTGAAGGGCTCCAAGTGAGCTGCAGAGTGGCTACTAACTTGGTGAGAATATAGTGTCCTAAAAGGGGCACAGGGCATGATAACATGACTAAGAACAAGTGGGTTATAGGGCTCTAATCAAGGAGGCAGGGAAGGCATGCAGTGGCCAGGAGGCAGGTGGATTTGCCGTCAATACCCATGACTGAGATCGTGGAAGAAGAAAGGGCTCTAAAAAGGAGGGCAGGAAAGAAAAGGTAGCCCCTGTGTCGACCAGGAAGGTGACCTACTACCTTCAGTGCAGCCTTGGGCTCAGCAAGGGTAGTGGGGGCCATCGAAGCTGGGCTTCTTCAGTCTTCAGCCAGTCTCAGCATGGCCAGTGGTTTGTCATGACCTGGAAGGGCAGCCCCTCCATGCTGAGGCGCAGAGGGCCTGCCATTTTTCCAGGGGCAGTCACTCTTTCAGTGGCCACTTTGGCAGCATATTGAGCAGGGCTTGGTTGGAACCCAGGGTTGGGGGGCACTGCTTTGCCCAGTGGCCTTCATTTTCACATTTGAAGCATTCTCCAGGTGGCGTTCCTTTCATTGCACCCCCATCGGTCACAGTCCCCTTGGGGCCATGGCGGCTGCCATTGACCGCAGGGCCACAACCAAGGCATGAGTCTGCAGGTCTACCTTCTGTTGAAGGCGGGCAGTAAAATGTTAAAGGCCATTTTCACTAGATCTCCGACCCGGGGCTGAGGGCTATTAAGGACCTTAAAGGTCAGGTTAAGTTTACGGTAAAGGTGGTCAGGACAGTGGAAAAGGACCTGAGATGCCTCTGAATTTGTGAGGCTGGACGTAGAGAGTGGGGGCATAGATTCAGAATATGCCCTCAGTCCCTGCTGCCTCCCTCAGGGGTAGAATGGGCACAGAAAAAGCTCACATTCTCAGGATTTGGGCTCTCAGGGATAGGGGAGAAGGCAGCTTCTGGTTAAGAGGGTCTAAAGAGAAAGAGACAAGGTGTTTTTTTAATTTAAGGAAGATCAAAGTGAGAGAGAATGTCTACCTGGATAAAATCCTTCCCAGCTGCAACCTCTGGCAAAGGGAACTGGCTGTCCCCCTGTGAATTTAATTGCTGGAGATTTGGTGGAGAGCGCATGGGGTGAGGCGGGCAGTTAGAATAAACACAAGCACACAGGAGGAGGCCGGCAAGGCAGAGGGGAGGAGGATCCTACGAATAACTGACTGGGGAAGCAGGCCGGAGTGGGTCTGTGGTTAGTCACCTGGTCTTGAGTTTCAGGCTCCTGTGGCGGCAGCAACCTGTGGCTGTGGGCGGAAAGCAGGGAGGATCAGCACAAAAAGGAGTAGGCATCACTGGAGGGGGATAGCGGAGGGAGGAGCAGCGGAGGCACATGGACCCAACCCCAGCCCAGGGGATCGCTTCTCAATGGCGGGTAGGCAGGCGGATGCACCGCCCGCCCGCGCCTGAGGACGAGGGTGCAGCATACACGTGGCAGCATCATACAGGGGATGGGGTTGTCGTCTTGTGGTCTGAGTTTCTGATTCCCGCAGCAACCGCAATGGGCGAAAGAGCGGAGGTGTGGTCAATAGGTAATGCTGGAAAACGTTGCTTGAGTAGGGAGGAGGAGAGGGTGTGGATGGACAGGGGGACTAGGCTGGAAGGGGAACGGGCGGCTTTTGCCAGGGGAGTTGGCAGTGATCTACCACGGAGGAAGGGTGGGAGGATGCGGAGACAATGGCGGTGCCGTCGCAGCCTGCCTGCCCCTCCCCCCCACACACACACAACACACAGCACAGGAACCCACCCCCCATACACACCAGACACACCGCATGGTGCGGCCACAACCGAGGGGGAGGAGGGAGGACAGGGCGAGGAGAGGAGGCAGAAGGAACTTTGGGAGAAGGGACGGGGATGCAGACGGGGTGGAGATAGAGAGAGATAGAGACTTGGGCACATTTCCTGGTTCACTGGCAGAAATTACTGAGATTAGGTAAGGATGGTAAAGTCAAGGTCCCATTTTCATACTGAGGCCATGCTACTTACAGAAATAGGGCACAGGTCGGGGTAGGCCTAGGGTTTAGCCAGATCGGTGAGCGGGCGCCCTAGAGGTATGCTCAGGTCAGGTCAGGAATTCAGATTCCCCCGTGCTCAATACCTGTTGCCTAGTAGCAGGAACTGAAGGACAGCGTCCTAGCGTTTTGACCCCAGCTACAGACAGACAGAGGAACAGAGGGAAGTAGGGACATCTCCACTACCTCCCAAGGTCTGGAGAAGCCTTCCTGGAAGGGTCCAAAAAAGGCAATCTCTGACGCGTCCCGTTTTATGGACAGAGACGCCGGCAGGCAGACGGCCACATGGGACCAGCACCGGGGTGGGGTGGGACTCACTGCTAATGTTGCCAAAAGGGAAAGGTTGCCAAGATGAAGAAATGAGGTCCTGATGGGTCCTGGGCCATGAGGAGGGAGAGGTGGGCACGCCGAGCTGTGGAGGGACAGCCAAATGGGGTGCTCACACCACCTGGTTTCAGCACCAAATGTTAGGTTAGGTGGCTCAGGAGGCAGTGTAGGAAATAGAGTTGATCAGAAAAGGAAGAAAGGAAAGGTTTTATTCTTGTCCTCGGTCGATCCATGAACCCCAAAGACAGGGCCAGTGGATTCGCCAACAGAGAGGGCGGCGCTTTTTTTTTTTTTTTTTTTTTTTTTTTTTTCTTTTTTTTTTTTTTTTACTGTGGTTGGGTGAGGGGTGGGACATGAGCTGAGGTATTCAGCTGAGGAAGATTCTGCTATAGGGGGTGAATAGGGTATTCAGGAAGGAATCAGTATCTGTGTGGGGATCATGTGGATTAAGGGAGAAGCCAGTATCTGTGTCTGGTACACTGATCTGTTAGAAATGTCAGGGAGGGTCCATTATCTCAACAGACATCTGCATGTATCTGATTCTGGGCTCTCTCTGATCGAACAAAAACCATAGGCAGAAAAATCTCAGACATCTTCTGAAACTATATGTTTGTGAATACATCTCCTAGGGCAAAGAAAATTAAGAAGAAACAAATGGAACTACCTCAAAATAAAAAGCTTTTGCACAGCAAAAGAAACCATCAACAAAATGAAAAGGGAGCCACTGTATGAGAGGACATATTTCGGAGTGATACATCTGATAAAGGATTACTATCCAAAATATATAAGGAACTTATACAACTTAACAAAAAAGAAGAGAAACCATCCAATTAAAAAATGGTCAAATGACCTAGACACTTCTCCAAAGTGGACATATATATTGCCCAGAGACATAAAAATGCTCAAATTGACTAATCATCAGAGAGAAACAAATTAAAATGACAATGAGGAATCACTTCACATCTATCAGAATGGGTATCAACAACAAATCAATAAATAGCAAGTGTTGGTGAGAAGGTGGAGAAAAGGGAACCCTCATATGCTGCTAGTGGGAATTCAGACTGGTGCAGCCATTAAGGAAAACAGTATGGGGGTTCGTAAAATATTAAATATGGATCTGCCATTCGACCAAGTGTTCCCTCTTCTAGGAAAATATCCTAAGAAACCTGAAACACCAATCAGAAAGAATGTATGCATCTCTATGTTCATAGCAGCATAATTTATAATAACTAAGATCTGGTAAAAGCCCAAGTGCCCTTCAGTAGATGAGTGGTGGAAAAAGACTTTTAAACAAAGGCTATAAGAGACAAAGTAGGATGCTACATAATGATAAAAAGGCATTCCAACTAGAAATTATAACCCTTATAAATATTTACACCTAACATAAGAGCATGTAAAAATATAAAAATTTTTGAGGCCAATAAAGGGTGAAATAAATTGTATTTCATACAATTATATGAAAAATTGTATCAATACATTAATGTCAATAGTTAGCTTCTCCAGAAAGAAAATGAAAAACAAAAGTGACTTTAATTAACACTCTAGGTGAGATGACTTTATGGTGTACCATACCTGCAGGCTACCTAAAACTATCTATAAATTTAATGAAATTTATATCCTAATATATAAAAACCCAGGGTTCCTAACAACTGAATGAAGGACTGGTCCATCGCCAGGCCTCAGGCTCCATGGATCATGGGATGGCGAACTAGGAACCAGGGTATCTTGGGCTCCAATGAATCTGTGGCAACAGCAACAGGTGAGCGGACAGAAGGCAGACTGCTTGGCTCACAGTGATCAGGAGATGGTTAACAGGGAACCAGAGTGAGTGGCAAGAGGACTGGTGAGCTACTGGAAGGCAGGCCTCCTGGTCCTTAAACTTCAATCAATTGGTGGTGGAGGTGGGACAGAACTGGGGACTGGCTTCCTTAGTAGATCTGTAGATTCAATCTCCAGAGATCAGACCAGACATCAACAGAAGAGCAACTCAGGCATGAACCTGACAGTGCTGCCGGCCTCCTGGAACTTGGTGACATGCAGTGAGGCTGCATCCCTTCCCTTGGATTGGCTCCCTTAGTAGTCCTGCAGGTTGAATCT